GCAGAGATGAATAGATGTGGCAGAGGAGAGGAGAGCAGTGGAAATCTATGGGCCGGTCCTTGGGACGGAAGAGCCACCGCTGCTAGCGAAGCCCCACCCTAGCTCTGGGGATAAAAGGCAGGGCGCAGAGATGGATAGATGTGGCAGAGGAGAGGAGAGCAGTGGAAATCTATGGGCCGGTCCTTGGGACGGAAGAGCCACCGCTGCTAGCGAAGCCCCATCCTAGCTCTGGGGATTAAAGGCAGGGTGCAGAGATGGATAGATGTGGCAGAGGAGAGGAGAGCAGTGGAAATCTATGGGCCGGTCCTTGGGATGGAAGAGCCACCGCTGCTAGTGAAGCCCCACCCTAGCTCTGCGGATAAAAGGCAGTGGGCGGAGATGAATAGATGTAGAAGACAACTATTCATCTTCCGGCCAGACGGACTTGTTAGCCTGAGAGATAAACTGAGAGATAAGCTGGTGCTCCTATTAAAGCAATAATTTGTTTAAACATAGAGGGTTTGTTGTGTTTGGGGAGCTGGGTCAGAACAATTTTGGGGGGCAAAATCCATCTGTGGATTTAATAATTTAAAGGCTATTCCTTTCAACCGAAAGAATTTTAAAAAGTGCTTAGACTATAGGGCTGCAGCGAGAGCAACCTTCAACAAGATGAATTATATATGGTCCAGCTTCGGAAGGGTGGATAATTTATTAAATTATTAATAACTTTTCACGAGGCTAGCTGACGGATGTGGTCAGCTGGGGAAATAAGTCCTTCCTTCCCTTCCTTCCTGAGTCGAAATTTTAAGGATGAAAGATTTATGCCCCGTGGCACCGTCCTCTTCGCCTTCCGGAGTCACACCGTGGTTATTATTCGCCGCTAACCGTCATTCAAACGGATGAGCTACGTTCACCTCTATGAGGTAAGCTGACCTACTTTGCGCCCCGCAGGTCCAGGTCTTGAGTCATTGCCTGCCTCACTGTTGGTCCCCCAAAATATAGAGCCGTGTCCTCGGCCAGGACCCCACATTCCAGGCAGGCCAGTCCGCCTTCCAGGGACATCCATAAATCAGGGCGAATTTCTTCGTTGTCAAAACGCTCCTTCAAGAAGGTCTGGTGAGGGATTGCAAGATATGAAAATATAGGCTGATGGGCTGTTTTCTTCTTTCAGGTGAAATGTTCAGAAAAATACAGTTCCTTCATTCCTCTTCGTACCCTTCTTTCCCCCTGCCCCTTTCCTTCTTTCCTTCTGCTCCCTTCTCTTCTCTTCCCTTCTCTTCCCTTCTCCCCATTCTATACCAGAAAAATACAATTCCTTCATTCCTCTTCCTACCCTTCTTTCCTCCCTCCCCTTTCCTTCCTTCCTTCCTTCCTTCCTTTCTTCTCCTCCCTTCCCTTCTCCCCATTCTATACCAGAAAAATACAGTTCCTTCATTCCTCTTCCTACCCTTCTTTCCTCCCTCCCCTTTCCTTCCTTCCTTCCTTCCTTCCTCTCTTCTCCTCCCTTCCCTTCTCCTCCTTCTATACCAGAAAAATACAGTTCCTTCATTCCTCTTCCTACCCTTCTTTCCTCCCTCCCCTTTCCTTCCTTCCTTCCTTCCTTCCTTCCTCTCTT